CTGAAGTGATGTCAATAAATGGGAAAGCCATACTGCACATAGAGAAGCTTCTGCATCAGAATTGTTGCTTTTCTGCCTCAGCCATGCCCCTATCCCCAGCTGAGCTCGAGCTGAATACTTCCTCTGCTGATTTCCATCTCACTAGCCTTTACCTTGCTGCCTGGCACCAAGCCAAGCAACCATGCAAAGGGATCTACTTTGGAGTTGTCGAGATGATTCCCTAGTCGCCCTTTTGGACTCTTCCATTTCTCTGGACTTCTGATCCTTCTCGCTTCTGATGCAGCATTTGATATTTATGAGTGATCACCTGCAGTGTTTCCTATTGACAGGCTGATTCTCATAAGTTAAGCAGCAGTATATGCAGAGGCCATCCTTAAAGGAGTTGAACCACGTATGTTATATTCATCCCTGTAGGTCTCCACTGAAAAGCTGGCAGCTGAAATGTGATTGCATTTCATTATCTTCCATCTGTTTTCTCATTTTCTCATTTAGAATGGAATCCCCTTACCTGCCTTCTCCCTAGCAGCCTGGTAAAGAATATATTGAAAACATAGCTTCAGATCCCCTGAGAATTCAGCAGAAAGTAGTGTTAATGGTACCTACCTACCCTGCCTGAAGTATCATGTGTTGATCTCATCTTGCATTTTTGTGAAGTGTAAGCATGGGATACATGTTTGCTATTGTGGTAGTGGATGCTGAGCTTATTTTACTAGCTTCCTATTGCAATATACTAGTCAGACCCCTGAGAATACCAGTAAGAGGGGGGTCATATTTCAGGGCTGAGCTTCATTAGCTTTGCTGTAGCCAGACCAGTGGCTGGAAAAGCAAAAAGGGGCACTGCAGGTCAGGAGTAAGAAAGAGCCCAGGACTGCAACAGTGAAGAGGAACTTCAGATGAAGATTGGCATATACGGATAGAGGCACACTGATAGGGGATGTTACAGGTCAGGTGTAAGGATACATTAGCATCTGTGTACAAAATGGAAGCTCTAGCCTGTGAAATCGTTTTCTTGCTTGCATGCCCAATATTCACTCAGAAATATAAAGATAAAGTAAACCCTTGGCTTTCCATTTTGTAGTGTTGATGTTTCATTCATAGCTTTGCAGGAGTCTTCAAATATTCATGTATCCTAACATAGGTGAAAGAGAGCAAAATACTTGTTTTGCAGGCACAAAAGCAAATGAAAAAAAGGTAAACTCAAATCCCAGGGCCCTAGAATAATAGCTTTAAGAAACATATAAATTGGTATTTTTTACAATCACTGTAGCTTTGGGGTCCAGTAATCTTTCATTATTAGATTAATTTTGAACATTGAATCAACACATGCAATAATGTTTCTGCCTGCCTAAGGCAATTGAATTGAATTTGTCACTGTGTTCAGAAGTCCAGAACTGGAAGAGCATGGGTGCTACAACTTAACCTTGAGATACAGTGGGCCAGAGCTGGGAGGGGGGACCCCCCATTAGAAATGCAAGCAGTGCTGTAAGTTACAGTTAGAGGCTTATTAACAGGGCTGTTTTGTGATATTCTGGAAGGGAAAGATGTGTTTGAGGTAGAAATGAAGATACAGTGGGAGATTTCAGGGTCCCCCATTTCCCACAACTCTTCAGCTGTAAAATTTGTCACAGAATCTATCCCTTGCTGTAGAATTGGAACGCACAATCCAAGTTTTCAGTTTAAATAAATCTGAAATTAACAGAGCTACGTTCATTTATATGCCCTGTGCTTCAGGGCCTGTTTTACTAATTCTCATTGTTGCAGAGAAACTTTCCAAAACAAAACCAAAATATAAACTATACAGTCTTGCTCTCCTGAGTCTGCAGGCAGCAGCTTGAAACAATAGCTTTAAGGGAATGTCTTAGTTTCCCCTATGAATCTCAATTGACTATTCACTCTGAAACGGAACAACAACAATGCAAACGTTATTATTGGAATGCAGCTACTATCTGTATCCCACAGTTTCAAGTTGCCTCTATGGGTGCCAAGGACACAGTCCTTTCCTGGCTGAGTCCAAAATCTCTGGCACCCTCCAGAATGCAGGAGTAGATAGCTAATACAAATAATCCGTGGCACATTAAACATTTAGAAATAGTGTAAACTAAATTGAATGTAATAGTTAAATAACACTGGTGCTGCTCAACACTATTATTATTATTCATTTTCATATTTAATAGAAGGAAAATCTCCATCTCTGCTTTAGCTGCTGTGCAATTTGCAGTCTATCTCATCAAATACTTCAAGTTGCTAGGAGATCGTGCCGTAGAAGTTAGGTCTAGTTTTCCACAAAGCACATGGAAGTTTTCTAGGGCTGTATATAGACCGCAGGATTGGAGGAAAAGTGAATTACATTTTAAGATTGAGTTGGAATGAGACAGCTGTAGGATAAAAACTTCAGACTTCCTATCAATACACAACCTGGCTTTAACCAGTGATATCAGTCACTTGCTTTTATGAGGACATTCTCAGAAAGATTTCCTGTTCAAGTAGTTACTTTGGCAGCCCCTCATAATCCTCCTTTTCTTCAGTATCTGTAAAAAAGACTCATAAAAACTTTCATCTGTTTGGAATTCTTTCACTGTTGATCCCTGGCACAATTATTGTGCTGCTAATATTCCACAGGCACTCCTTTGGAAATCAGTGCATATACTTCATACCTCCCCCATACCACAAGTGTCTGCAGCATTCATGAGCATGGCAAATGCATTCTTATCTCCATGACATACTTGAAATATTCAGCAGGGAAGCAGGTGTATTCTGCCTGAATGCCCCTTATACTTTTAGCATAAGCAAACTTTAGAGTTATTAAGACAGCTACTAGATGTTAATAGAGGTCCAGTAAATTCTTACGCTTGTCACTCTTTTCGGACCCCCAGCCACCATGCACACAAATGCATATAGACAGAGAAGGACGTTAAACTACTGCCAGCCTCTAGACTGACGCTAAGGTATATACAGTGTCACTGATGTTTTCACGGTAGTGTCACATTGGTTGGCTAATATTTCCTGTTCTGATGTCTTACTGCAAGCTGAATTGAAAAATGTGACTGAGAGTATTGTCTTGTAGATATAAGAATGGACTGAGAACTGGCATTCAGTGTTACCTTTCCCAGCTTTGTCACTTCTGTGCTGTGTGAACCTTCAGCTAGGCAAACATCTTGGAACTCAGATATTTAAATAAAGCACATACATAAAAGTGCCTTGATTTTTTTCCAGAGGCAAGCAGAAATTAAAATACCACAATAGAGAAAAGTGTTTGGCACCTTTCAAGATCAGTCCACTTACTAGACAGCTAAGGCTGTTCCCATTGATCTTTCTTTGCTTCCATTTTGGCATCTGTAAAATGGGAATGCTAAGATTACTCATTGTTCAGTGTTTTAAGATTCTTGGACTAAAAGACCTATGGCAGCGGTAGGCAATTATTTGGGCCCAAGGGCCACTTAGGGAGATCTGGTGAGCTGTTGTGGCCTGAGTCAGTACTTCCCTCCCACCCCTGCAACGGCTTGGGCTATGGTCAATGGACCTGGTGCTGGCCAGACAAAATCTGTTGACAGGGCACAATCTCCTAGCAACTTGAAGTACCAGGCGTGGGGCGGAGTGGAGCCGCTTCCCACCCTGCACCCCAATGCTTCTTCCTTGCCCGGGGTCCCCCCCCTTACCTGAGCTTCCCACACCAGGACAGCCATGTGCTCCCAGCCCAGAAAGGGCACTGGGGTTTCCGGCTGGGGGCAGGGCCAAGCAGGCCGCTGTTGTTGGAGCCCGCCAGGCTTCCCCTGGGTCCTACTGCCCTTGGTTCCTGTTCAGGAACCAAGGGCAGAGAAATATTAAATGTCTACATTTTTTTAGGGGCCTCGCAGGCCAGATAGAATGGCCTCATGGGCTGGATGTGGCCTGCGGGCCATATTTTGCCCACCCCTGGATTAGACCAAGAAAGGGTCCTGTAGGATCTTTTTTTCTGACAACTATAAGGAGATAGGGTTAAAGGAGTGTCATGTAATCAGTGTCAATGACAGCAGGACAGCTGTAAAGGACATTTTTTGAAGAAGAAATGTAGTTTGTTCTATGCAAGATGCACACCTGCACTTAGGATGGGGCTACAACAGAGAGTTCACACTGCATTAAGCCAAGACGGTTGTCACTTTTTTCCCCTTCTCCAACACACTCATGTTACAGCATGTCCTAATCTTGCAGGACCAACTAACTGCATTACAACACATTGTCATGCTGCAGTTGCATTCTTATGTGGTAACACTGTGTGAGACATGTCGAAGCCATACTGTCATGCACACACCCAACTAGAAGCAAAAAGACTTATGAAGACTCAGTGTGATGGTGCACTGTGACATCTACATTCTGCTTGGGATTCTCAGTCTCTGCAAGCTATGCTTGTGTGATGCAGGATAGATCTGTGAAAGTCAGGACTTCCTTGTGAGTTTGGGGAGATAATGTGTGGCAGCCCTTGCCATGTTCTTCTCAGTGAGCCCCACTCCCCCACAGTCTGCACTCTCAACAGGAACTGAAGAAAATCTCTCTCAGTGCATCAGCTGACCAAGGCCTTCATGTTTTTCTTGTGTCCTTTCTCCACATCTGTACACTGCACCTCAAATAGGGATGACTCCAACTCATTTTGGGTCACTTTGGCTCATCTCAGGTCCAGATGTCAGGTGTGACAATTCCCACACACTCTTCCTATCCCCTACCTACTACCTCCACCCTCCACAACCCAACCCCCTGCCTTTGCTCACGGGGAGGGGGAAGACTTCCAAAAAACAAAGCCCTTGATGCACACCCATTTTTTCCAGCCTCCTTCTCATCCTGCTGCTACTGGGCATGCTCACAGGCCTGCACCTAGCATGTGGCTACAACAAAGAGCTCACACTGCATTAAGCCAAGTCCATCGCTCATTTAAAACTACCATCTGCAAAAAGCCTTTACAGCTTTTCCCAATAGAATATTAACTCTCTTCCTGTTTTCTTCTTTCTTTTGTTTCTCTTTCCTTACAGCGCTGCTGCTTACCCAAGGTAAGATGGCTTTTATTCCTTTCCTCTGTCTACTATGGCTTTGGTTCCAATCTCTCCTTCAGGCAACCTTTTTTGTGCTAATACTTGTGTTGCAGTTACTAGTGATGATGCCTGCCCTGCTGTGTTAAGAATACCCCAAATGTTGACTCATGGGCCGGATCCAAATGTGCAGGTACGTGTGGTTTGTGACACCGCAAGCCTCTTTGCAGTGCCACAAACTGCATGTGTTGCATGTTAAATGGTGTGCAGGGCTGCTAATTAGCAGCACGGGCAAAATTTGCTACCGGGATTTCCCAGTAGCAAAAAAAAACCCTGGAAAAAAATGTGGCACAAAGCACACCAAAGTGCTGTGTGCCAGGACAAACATAGAGACAGGGGATCAGGCAGCTGAGGGCTACCTGCTCCCCCATCTCTGTGGGCTACAGAGCCCCCATGCTGAGAGCACCTGGCTGGGGCACAGTATGCCTCAAGACAGGGGAGCAGGCAACCATGACTGCGAAGCCCCCACACTGAGGCACACAGAGACAGGGAAGCAGCCCAGGGCTGCCTGCTCTCTCATCTCAAGGCATACTGCACCCCATCCAACTGCTCCACAGCTGGCTGGGGTACAGTGTAACTCAAGACAGGCGCTGCACAGCAAAGCCCTCTCACCGAGGCATGTGGAGACAGGGGAGCAGCCAACCCAGGGCTGTCTGCTCCCCGATCTCGAGGCACTCTGCAGCCCAGCCTGCCAGGGAGTGGATAGCTGGGACACAGGGTGCCTCAGCATGGGGGCTTTGCAGCTCATGGAGATGGGGGAGCAGGCAGCTCTGGGCTACTTGCTCCCCCGTCTCCACGTGCCAGTCCCCTGATGGCTGAAGCACAGGGTGCCTCAGCATGGGGGCTGCCTGCTGGCTAGCCTTTCACTGAAGCACCCTTTACCCCAACCAGCCCCCCCTGCAGCACATGGAGCAGTGGGACAATGTGTCCCACTGCAAACCACACAAGCAGAGGTGTGCACTACAGCCCAAAGTAGCAGCATAAATTTATGCTGCTACTATTTGTGCTGCTGCAAGCACATGCCCCTCCTTGTGTGGATAACAGCCATGAGGGTCTGGCTCAAATCCAAGACTTGTTGCGCCAAATCTAGGAAAATGGCCTCAGTTGAACCTCCAGGTCTGCTGTACAAGGAAGTACCGGATCTCCTCTCATGGTCACCTTGCCTGGCCATTCCAGTCACAAACCTTCCTTCCTGCAGCCACAGTGCTGAGGCCTAATGCAACCTGATGGATCCAAGTGTGGTATTACAGAATTCATGGTGCTGGGCAGTTCATCACCCCAGAGGAAGCCCCCTTAAGGTTGGGCATAAGACTAGCCCAATGTCTCCTAGAACACAGATGATGTGCCAGGTTTGTAGAGGGTGAAATATAGATTTCCCCAATGTGTAAGCAGGGCAAACTCTCAAGGAGGCCATTATAAGGAATTCAGGGCCTTCTTCCTGCCCTATTGCCACCCCTGCATGCCCCTTCCTGAGAGTCAGATGCTAGCAAGGCCACCAGGCACCAACAATTGTCATGCTCAGGTACTAGACTTGAGTAATCTTTGCACCATCTCTGTGGTGTCATAGAAAACACCTTCAGTCTTGCCCAATATTAGGACAAAATGAAAGAGAAAAGATGAAAGTAAACTCCTCTTTACACAATGGTCGTAGCTGGTTGGTCACATTCCACCCAGTGTTGGCACTCTTTATTTTCTCTGCCTGTGGGCAAGACTTTACATTTATTAATACTGAATCTCCCTTTGTTGCCTGAAAAACCCATTACACAAGACTCTCTAGATTGTATTGCAGCATGATGAATTCCTCCTGTAGTTCTAGTTATCCCTACACTTCCAGATTTGAATTTTGACTAAGAGAAACAGTTGACAACACTAAGCAGCAGGGAGGCAAGGTACAGAGCGGGACAGGGATTTGTTTTATTTATTTTTTACCTGAACATGGAAGGAGTCCTGAACTGGACTGTAGCTATTAGGAAGTGTCACTGCTTGTAGACTGATAGATTTTTTAGTTCAGGGACAGAAGCAGTTGTGCAGCCCCCTAGAAGGCTTCTACAAGGTTAAGGCAAGTCACTCATCTGGGTTCGTAATACCCATGCTATTAAGGCAGTCAAACCATGTTATAGCCAAGACATGTTTTGCAAATCTTTATAAGAAAACCTTCCATCTCCGCTTCTCTTAGGAAAAGCCCAAAACTGCTGTCCATAGAATTTACCCAGAATCCCAAATTTCATTGGGCTAATTAGCAGATTAATAATACCAGAAGAGCCCCAAATTTCAGCACAGGACACTTAAGCAAAATGGCTCTGACCCTCTTCAGCTTCAGTGGAATTGGAAATAAGTCGAGCACAGCCTTTCTCAGACTAATTTTGTTGCTTTAATTCAGTAGCTGCGTAACTTGCTCAGAACCTCTGGAACCAAATAATTTGTTTTAAAATAATATAAGTCCCCCTCTCTGTTGTGATCCAATTTGATTGCTTTTGGTAGGTATTATTGGATAATTCAGTCAACAGCTATAGACATTTGCTGTTCAGTTAACAGAGGAAAGGCCAAATTTCAGACCACAAGGTAGAGCAAAGGTCCATGAGGCATAGTGCCAAGTTCCCCTTTCCTTTACTGCATTGTTCTCCCTATAGGCCATAGTAA